CAACCACGCGAGCATACAAACTCAAAGGTACACACGGGCAAGCAAGCTTGCACGCACAAGTACACACAAAAGGGCAACAAGAATGGAGGTCCATGTTGAAAAAAAACAACGCGAGGGTTTACTGTTCTTGGATGTGAGGCCGGTGGCGCCCCGCACTCCACGTCGTCAGACAAACAGTGAGTGTTTGCCAGTGTGTTCGCTCAACAAATTTTGAGTTTTTAAGAAATGTGAAGAAAAAATTCTATTCGTAACTAATTTTCTTCGCATGCTTTCTTTCTATTTTTCAGTGCTTTGATTTTCTCGTGGGAATAGCCTGTTTTTGTATTAGTCACCTCTCTTTCTCTCCCCCCCTCTCTCTCTCTCTCTCTCTCTCTCTCTCTCTCTCTCTCTCTCTCTCTCATTCTCTCTCTCTCTGTTCCTCACACTATGTCCATTCCACCGTCAGCAGGCAAGCTAGCGGAATCCACACAAAATAACTCAATGTCTTTTCTACATTTGAGCTTTGCTTCTCTCGAGGGTGTCTCAAGCCCCATCCTCATAAACAACTGGTCTCCATGTCTTCAAATGTCTCTCCTTCTATAACATGAACGGTGTTATGTTATTTCGAATAAAATACATAATTATATACTTTATATACCGTTTTTACTGCTCGATCATACATATTAAAAAATATGTACATCTTCAGCGTTCTTGTATTTTGTTTCCTTTTTTCCCTTTCTTTAGCTTTAACTTTTTGTTATTTGGGGCCCAGTTGTTGAACGTTCAGAGAAAGTAGATTCACAGAAAACCATAAGCGTATAGATCTAGTGATAAGAGCTTTTGTTCGGGTAATCATTGTGATTTTTCTTTTAACCTTTTTTCTTTTTCAAGCAAAGGCAAATTAATTGCTTTGTTCCGTTTATAGTTCTGCGGATCTGTGCAGGTTTTCTTGCAAATCGGTTTGCCTCCCGATAGCGCCGTATGTGGTACTACTGTGCAGATGTTCGTGGTTCGAATCACTAACCGAGTGTTCTTGAATTTGGGCTGTTTGATGAGTTTACAAGGTCTCCTATTTGTATAATCTTGACTTGGTCCTGTCGGAGATGAACGCTAAATAAACAGTCCCCCGCTTCTTGTGTTGAAGGTGTAGTTACACTTTTAAAAACCAAGGACAGCTGGTGCAGCAAATTCACAATCTAATTCGGAAAAAAAACCTACGAAGACAGCGTTAATTCAGCTGCCTGAAACGCGAGGGGTGCTACGTTTAGAGAGAGGAATAAAAGCACTCATAACGTATGCTAACTCCTGAACATTGTTAAAACATTACCTTAATAAACTAACAGAGCATAATTTGTTCTTATCTGCTCCTTTATCTGTCTGATTTGGAGGCATGAAGGTCTTCAGTGGCGACCAAGTCCTTGGGCTATGTTATGTTCACAATCCGCGCAACCGACATATGTCGAGAAATTCGGAGAGGCCACAAAACTCGTAACTTTTCCCCTAGGACAGGTAACTCGTCGGTCACCTCTCTTTTTTGGACGAGTGAAGATTTTACAGTGTGTGTGGAAAAGAGGCTAGAACGAAGTTAGCTGTTGAGTAGTGCAAGTGAAGGGTCATTGGGATGTAGCTTACTGAGAGGTACCCAGTCGACAGTTTTGTTTCACTCAAAAAGAGATTATATCAGTAATACTCGAAACAATTTCTATCAAGTAGGTTGCTACAACCCTGCCTCCAAGGTTTTTCCTCTACGGAATCGAACTCACGCCTTTTGCGTGCAGCGGCAACGAACCTAATCATTACCCCAGTACAACAGTTCCCTCACCATCTGAAATCTGATCAAAAGTCAATGACTTTTTAAACAATGATTTTGTTTGTGATGAGGAGGGGGGGGGGGTGATTTATTACTTGAATGACAGGTTTTGTACTTTTCTTTAGAGTAATATCTGAAAAATTGTGTTGGCATTTGTTAACCGATGTCTCCACAATCCTCGAAATGCTAAGTAGTTGGGCGCGTCAAACAGGGAAAGCAAAGTCTTAAAAAATGAACGAGGCTGCCCAGTATGGCTATCGGCACGTAGTCGAAATAACAATGTGCTTTCGCTTGTGTTTACAGTAACAGGTCTGCTCAGTGGTCAAGCAGCTTTACGAAGTGCCGCAGTTTTACAAGCTGACAAAGCTTCTGTTGGGAAGATCAGCGCGGGACTCGGATAGAACGCGGTGAGGAAAGGATGAGAAAACAGACGATGCCAGGTCAGGCATGGAGGAGAGAAGTGTTTAATATGTTAATATTCATAGAAATGGGGATATGGATTTTAAACAGCAAAATAAAAAAAACATACCAAATATAGGAGGAGGAGGAGGAGG